GGCTGTCTTCCTGCCCGCCGCCGCTGCACAACAGGGTGAGAGCGGGGCCAGGGCCGTGGGATCCCCGTGTGTTCCTTGCCATTCCTCTTGTGTCATCTCATAGTCTTCCATAGATAGTATCAGTCTCACTGGCTGTTTGATGTCATCACTTTGAACTTTAGAGTGGTTTTCTGAGGGTGGTTTTTTCCCCCTGACTTTCTTGGGTTTTAGCTTAAACACAAAGATCTGTGAATGAGCCCAGGAAGTGGAATGCAGAATTCATTGCATCCTTCAGAAACATTCTAATTTGAAGGATAAAAATCTTGTGAGGGAATGGGAGCATACCTGTTTTGAGTTGTGCCACCAGGCCATTTCAGTCCCTGTTTTGGTTAAAAGGAATGCCAGTTCCTTTTTCTTCTTCTATTTATAGATAGAAGACTTTCTGGGTACCTTATACCAATTCTTACATATCTGGTTAGACACAGATGTAATACAGTGGTGTGAAATTGTTATTATTGTAGTGTAAAAATAGTACAGATGCCTCTGCTCTGATGCTGGTGGTTTGTACAGCAAACCGTTGTTACCCATCCGTGTTACCCTTTTAATAATAATGCAGCATGTTTTTATCACAGATCCTTGATGACGGACAGTCTCCTAAGCACAGTCAGTGTCAGAGCCGTGCTGTTCCGGAGTGGAGCGTGCAGCAGGTTTCCCACTGGTTAATGAGCCTGAACCTTGAACAGTATGTTTCCGAATTCAGTGCCCAAAACATTAACGGGGAGCATCTCCTTCAGCTGGATGGGAGTAAGCTCAAGGTAACTGACTGACCGGACTTGAAGAGTTACTGTAGTATTTGTTGTCACTTTAGGTAACCTTAAAGGCAGTAAGAATTCTGCCAGAAAGCAGTGAATCCCTGTGTGTGGAGGGGTGATAGACTGGAATAACAAACACAGAGTATAAAGCCACAGCAACACTTTAAGAGATTCCCATATGCACTTAGATTCAGAAGCTTCAGAAATAGAGGGCATTTGCTTTGTGAAAACTCTGGGTGTATATAATGTACCCGTATTTGCATGCATAAATCATATAGCAGCATGAATAAGCAGTATATGCATGCAGGCATTTCTCATCCAGCTCTGTTTTGCAAAATGGTGATTCAGAGAACAGGCATACATCAGAAGTAGCAGCTGAAAAACAGATTAGTGGGATACAGGAGGCATAAGCTGATATCAATTGTACTGTGTTAGAACTAAGTACAGTTTTGGTGTATAAAGTGTGCATTGTTTCTTGTAGTGAAAATATGAGCCTACTTTTGTCAAAAATAATTACAGGAAGGAGTTGTGGGAAGCTCAGCAGATCTGAAAGCCCAAGTTTGGTGTTGCCTTCCTGAATTTTTTTGCTGGCGTTTCACTTGCTCCAGGGGTTTTAGAAGAGAGCAAGTGAACTTTTGACTAAGGCGTAGCAGTGAGAATTGGGAAGTCTTGTTTTATGTATATTTAGATTACTTCAGGCAAATAGTTTAATCTTTATTTGCCTCATTTGATCAATGAAATCAACATTGGTGGTGGCAATGAGATCTAATTCTTTAGTATTCTAGAAGTGGATGGCATGGAAAGTAGTACAGAAGCGTATTACACATCAGTAATGTATCTGAGTCTGTCTCAAATTCACTTAGTTGTTATAGTCTTCTACCTAAAAAGAGTTACTATTAGGATATGAAAAAAATTGTGATAGATTCAACCACATGAAATTATTTTTCTTTTTTAATTTTGTTTTCCCCACCTCAGGCTCTTGGTATGACATCTTCCCAGGACAGAGCAATCATTAAAAAAAAGCTGAAGGAAATGAAAGCATCCTTGGAGAAAGCTCGCAAAGCTCAAGAGAAAATGGAAAAGCAAAGGGAAAAGCTTCGGAAGAAGGAACAAGAGCAACTGCAGAGGAAATCAAAGAAAACAGACAAGTCCTCATCAGATGCAACAGAGGGCACTAATGAGCAGTGATAAGCAGAAGTGCTGCTGTGTTAGGAAAGTGGAGGCACTTCAAGGGAAGCGAAACTCATATCCGCTCTGGTGCCCCTTCAGCTTTCTTGTATTCATTACACAAGAGTGTGTACCGAGAAATGGGGCTATACATAGAATGACTAGGGAAATTTATATTGTGTAGTTTTACTTTCCTGCATACCCAGTTCACGCTCGTTGCTGTTGCCATGTGAAACAACCCCAGCCCCTCGGTTTGTTTTGTTGTTGTTGACAGCTAACAGATTTCATATTTGTGTGGCGGTGTTTCCTTCCAAACTACTCTTCTCTATTGAGCTCTATGTGTTTGGTCACTTCAGTAAACCAGCATGATGCCGAGGAGCATGGTCCACTGCTTCACCTCTTCTGAACAGGAAGGCCAGTCAAAACGATTGGTGAACGTTTCTTCAGCAGGGTAAAAGGAGTTGCGCTCTGTCTGATAAGAGTTGACTTAACTTTCTAACTGGAAGTTCAGCTTCTTTACGGTGTTTAGATACTCGGAAACTGGAGTAAGTTTCATCTTGCGTCAGTACCTTGAAGCGACACTGCTCTGGAAACACAACTGTTCAGTGACTTCTTCTTATACACTGGAGATAAAGGCAGGAGAGTCATTCCTCCTGGGAAAAAGACAGGAGGTGAAACTCTTTCTGCTAACTGTACAATAGTTAATCCAGGAAGGAGGCAAAGCCTTAAATGATTATGTGGGTTTACACAGAAATCTGAGGATAACATTTATCCTTTTGATATCTGAGCAAGGATGAATTTCTAACGAGAGCACAGCATATAGATCTGTACCAATTTCATTGTGCTCCCAGTGTGTAGGCAACTTTCTTATAGCACTCTGCTTTCTTTTTCATGTGTTCCGAACAGAAAACTGGGCTTATTTTGTTTCGTTTGGGGTTTTTTTTGTTTCCAGGAAAAACACCACATCTTCAGATTCATTCTCCAATAAGCACTGGGAGAATAAGCTTTGTGCCGTGCTGTTATGAAGCTGTTGTTGGAAACAATTCTCAAACTTGAGTCTGCTAAAGATTTTCAGTTTTTACAGAAGTGCACTTTAAGAAGAGGAAGACGAGGGATTCTGGTTAAAATTAAATTCAGTACATAGCTGTTGAGATCAACGCTGCCATGGAGGTGACGGTTACTAAATCCAAAGCTGCCATACATTAACTGTTTTGATTGATGTGTTTAAAGAATATCCCCACCAACACCTGAATTTTTGGGCATAGGCTGTAGAATATTTTGATGGCTTAGCAGCAGTCATATTACATCCTTCAGAGATTTCTGGTTTCCTGGTGTATGAGGCCATCGGCAAAGCCTGCAGCATAGTTTTGACTATGCCAGGAGCAGTGTGTAGCTCACACTGCAGAGTGTTGCTGCCTCTTAAGAGCAGTATTAAAATACTCAGTATCTCTTCAAGAGGATGGACAGACAACAGACAAATATCCACAACGAGAAGCTAGAGGTATCAGCTCACTGCTTTACAGCCAAAGCTAACTACGTAGCCGCATTTCTCGTTGAGAAACGTCACTTCCCTTTCGTGCACCCTGAAAGCTGCAGTCTTCGTCTGGTCTTGCCAACCCAGAAATTGTTTAAGATGTTGATGCAAAGTCAGAATCTTGAACTTAAAAACTTGTCGGCCTAAAAAGCGCAAGTATTGAATTCTTTTGAAGAAAATGTTTGGTTTAGTTTGGCTTGGCTTCTCTTCTGCTCTGTACTTGATGGCATTCAGATTTGTGTGCGTCAAGTTCTCTGAAGCTCAGATTTGAAACAGTTGGGGTGCAATGTTTATAGTTAAATTTCTTTTGATCCTAATAATTTCTTTGACATGTAAGATGGTCTGTGATCTGAGAGAGCCTACTTCCTTCAAAATTAATACACAACAGATCTACTTAGCATTAGCTTTATTTTTCCTTCCAAATCCAATTTCTACAAATTTCTGATGTATATTTTATTCTGATCTAAAAATGAAATTGTCGTAAACTATGCTTCTTGAGATAGACCACCAGCAAAAAAATACACGTGCTAACAAGAATTCCACATTGTAGTGAATCCTTCTACACTCTTTGTAGGAGAAAAATTACACAAATGTTTAACAGCCTCGTAAAATTAGCATTCTGTTATTTTAGGAGGTTATAAATTTGTATTTGAGTAAGAGAAGTTATCAGGAAGAAACTGGAAATTTAATATTTTAAATACAGTGTTGATAAATGCATTCAATGATGATTTTCTTTTTAAATTATGTTTACATTGTAGTATTGTTGAAGTGGTTGTATATAGTAACCTGAGGTGGTGTCCCTGTTTTATGTTCTTTGTTTTCGTAGAAACCTGAGCGGACTGCTTGGCATTATGCATTGGGTTTTCATTCTTGCTGCTTAGAACAGTGCCTAGTTAATCTCTTCGTAAATCAGATTCTTATTCTGCAGAATAACTAATTCGATTTAAGTCCTGGACTAAAAAAAAACCAACGAAAAACCTAACTTAAAAAAATTAGTAGCTTAAATTTAAAATAAAACCATAAAATGCATTTTGATCAACACATGAAAACTAAGCAAACTGAACAATGTCAAGAGTTTTGCACTTCTCTCTGTGACAGAAGAGATTTATGGGGTTCCTTTTATTAAGTATGGTAACTCATGGTCGGGACGTGGGGAAATGTCACTGGATAACAGATGTAAAGCACAGTTTGAAACTTCTGTTACTGTTCTGTAGGACCTTTAAAGCTGTGTTGCATTTCTTCCCCTTGTATTGTGTGATGACATATGTGAAACAAAAGATACGGATGCCTCATCATTCCTTAACTTAAACTTTCTGTAAACCAATGCTAAGTCAGACTAATGTGGGGGTTTGATGTGATAAGAAACAAATGCTCCGTGCTAAATGACTGGAAAGACTTTCTCTTTCGGCTCACCTACAAATGTAACTGCTACCGACTTCTGCGTATTTATTTGTGGAGCTAAAGCAATTTTGAGTGCGCTGACTTGCCTGGCCACCTTTAAAGGGCTGTGCGGGTGGTGTGGTGTTCCCATGCCTCTAGCCGGGCGTCTGTGCCATCCTTACACCTAGGTGACCGCAGCAGGCTGGTGAAGTTAGCTTTCTCCCTGGTTATGGTGGTGGGCCAGTTCTGTAAGCTCCAGTTCTGTAAGCTCCAGTTCTGCTCATTGCTGCGGTATTGCCAGGTTGCGAATATATCAAGCCTCTGAAAGGGTGAAGAAAGGAGAGTTAGCAAAAAATGGAACTCTGAAAAACAGAAAATAAAAGATACAACACTGCAGGTTACTTCAGTCCTAAAAAACCTAGTGTTTATACTGAGATTGTGGAGAGAGGGGTAGCTCTCTCCTCTGTCCAAATTGGCCAAACATACTGACGTTACTCGCTTCCAGCCTGTATTTTCCCACCTGGTGGGGTGCTGCACCCGTGCGACTTCCGCGTTAAAATTCCCAGTTCGGTTTCAATCTGCCCAGGCAGATCAGGACCAGCGTGTGAGGAAGGAGCCGAACCTGTTCATTGCAGCGCACAGAGTATTGCCCGCCGCTGCTTGCATTCCCCCCGCCGCTCTGAGCAGCTCTGGCGGGGGTCACTGTCAGTGGAGCCTGTCCTGGATCGCGGGTTAGCATTGCACAGTGGAACAGAAGCCGGTCATAAAACGCTGAACAGAGTTAGGTGATGTTTGTATCTCTGTGTATGCAAATGCGTTTGTGGTTTTTTACTTTATTTTTTTTTTTTTTGCAAAGGCATCTATTGTGCCATGACCCTAGTCTGCTGCAGGGATACCACAAGAATCGAGCTTTTACTAGAATTACTGAGCAGCTTCAGAGGGAAGCCCTCCTGGCTCACGGTGGGCAATGTCGTGTGATTTTTTGAGAATTAATTGTGTTCCGCTTTTAAGTCGGAGAAAAAAATGCCACTCTTGTTAATAGTGCAGAATCCAGTTCTGCAGTCGGAAGGAAGAGGCTCATCATTTAGTTCTATATGGCCCAGAAGTACCATTCCAGGTACCGACACAATATTGAAAATCAAAAGGAAAGGTTTGCACAGCTGTAGGTCTTCACAGCATCTGCACTGCAGTCTGCACTGTTTCTCAGTGCTGAAATTTAGGGGAAGTTTGCAGGAATTAAGTCTTGTGTTGATTTCTCAGCCCCGTGTTTACAGAGAGAAAATATTGTCAAGGCAAAAGTAAAAAACCTGATCTTGCTCATTTTAGGGGCAGCCTCAACCCCTGCGCTATCATAAGTGATAGAGGGGCGGGACCCTTCTAATAGCACTTCCCTCATTCTGTGCTCTCCCTCACACGAAAACCTCAGGAAACCTGTGTCATGGTCCAAAACACTGAGAAAACAGACATTTGAAAAAAAGCAGCACGTATTTAATGAAGTTTTAAGTCTTTAACAGTTGAAATGGGCAGCGTGCACAGAGCAGTTAGATGGTTTTGGTTTAGTTTCATTAAATTAGCGACTGAAAAGGATGGAATCAATTAGCCTTTCTGGAAATGTTCAAGTGGTCTGTGGCTTGGTTCCCCCCTTTAAAGACGTCTGTGTGGGTTTGTGTGTGTACACACAGCTGTAGAGGCGTGGATATCCACAGGGATGTGCCCTGCCCCAGCCTGTGCCCGCGCATTCCCGGGCTGCAGGCAGGCAGAGGACCCCGGGACCGCAGGCCCGGAGGAGCAAAGCGCTACTCCTCTGGCTCACCAGTGTGCTCGCCCCTGGCTGTGCAGGTACCTTTGCTCGCTCATTTCTTGCGGGGTTTTATGTATTTTGCAGATGAGAAGATTTTTTGAAGTTTTGTTAAAACCATATACAGAATGGTCCCTGCAGGTCCTTCTGCGTGTTGTCCTTGGGTTGGTTTTTTGGGGTAGGAGGTTGGCAGGATTGATTGACTGGAGTGTCAGTATTCTGGGAAGGAAACCCTTTTTTATATTTTTAACCCTAACTTTGATTTCTGTTGGAGCGCTTTCAGCAGCTC